AAGATAGTTTACACTTAATCCCAAACATAATTGGCTAACAAATACATTAAGAGTGAAACACGATTGAATTTTATCAAGATACTTTTCCACCAAGAGCAAAATAAATAGAAAATGGTTTGGTATGTTTTTTAAAGTAATATTGCAAATGCGGAAGCGATTTTATTTATTACTAGCTGACCCGCGCAACTTCGTCTGCGTCTCTCAATAGTAATAAATTTTCTCCGTTTTTGAAACATTCTTCATTGGTGCTCCTCTCCTATTGGTCTTAGCGTGATGATATATAGCCTATAGCCTTCCTCGATAAATGGGCTCTCTAACACTGAAAGAATTTTTCAAATCGGACCAGTAGTTCCTGAGATTAGCGCGTTCAAACAAACAAACAAACAAACAAACTCTTCAGCTTTATAATATTAGTATAGATGCTTTAACATCTTAATTAAATCGATCATAATAAAACGTTGCGGTCATGGTGTCAGGGGATAATGTTCTGCGTCGAGATCCAAAAGTCCTGCTCAGGAAGGATCAATGAATTGAATAAAAAATCTAGCCTACAGTAACAGTTATAGTAGCAGTTACAGTAAAAGAAGCCAATTGTAGGCGGTAAATAAAGTGACGTAATAAAGGTTATAAATACTAGAAATACAGCAAACGACAGACATAATGTATTTGTTACTTCGCAATGTTTCAAACTTCTGTTGCTGACTGTATCTACAGGATCGCAATACACATTCGAGTCCCACATGTTACATGTTTACAGAAAACTTCGTTACAAAAAGCTAGAGGCGAGGGAATCCGACATTGCAATTTTATATAAAATCCTGGGAACGCTCATGTTGCGTATTCACTAGGTTAAATTAAAATGTAGGTTAATTAGAAACATTTTGTACATTACTTTGGCTAAGCCTTACATTATGAGTCCTTTCTTGGTGAAATGCATGCATATTATTAGCACAAATCTTTTAACAATAAAAGTTAAAAATACCAATATCACATGAGTCCCCTATCCAGTACTTGCGGCACCACAGAATGGCATAAAAATTAATAAAGTAGTACTGCTGCATAACCACATCGTCACTTAAGATATTGAAGAATAAATGGCATGTTATAATTGGTGACCTGTTGGGCTATGTTCAAATAACGGGCTTTGAATGCATATTTCGTTTCTGTAGTGTTTACATGGCGAGTTCTTGAACAACATTCGCGTTCTTAATGACGCGTATTACCAAAACATACGCCAGCCAGTAATTACAATATTTCGATCTCATTAGAGGTCGATGAAAATTAAAGACTGACATCTAAAGGCTGTATGTACATTGTACATACATTAATAATATTATCGAACCATCCATAAAACTTGCCCGAGACAATTTCAGAACTGTGTAAATATTTATGTACATATATGAATAACGAAAACATCTGCGAGATTCGAGAACAATTAACTTAATTATTCGCCAAAACGTTGTACCCAGCCAGAACAAATAACTACATAAACATCATAATGCAGAACGTTTCGTTTACGAGATATTTTGCGTCCAGCAAATATGTTTTGAAATAACAAACTGATTATTACTACTAAGATTGAACTTAATTTTGTGTAACGTATTTATAAAATAAATATTATTTTATTTGAAAACAATCTTTATTTTTGAGAATTAAGTCAATTTGAAGCGACAATACAACAATGTATACAAAGCTATATTACAACTATTAAGGATTTAAATATGAAAAGTGGACTCCACTTAGCACACATGCGCAAAATATTTTCTTAGCGAACTAATCAAATGACATATATATAAGAAGTACTGTGCAAAATAGGCCTTCATTCTCTATAACAAAAATGCTCGAGGCCTAAAAAGTGTTTCAGGTCAATGCTATATAACCGAATTACAAAACGTCCTTAGCAACAAAGTGGCCCTAAAAATTTACCATCACTATCTAGATTAGCCATGATTTTTCATTGTACGTTTAATTTTCACGCTAAAGCTTGCCAATTAGTCTGTAAGGCTTTCGTGTTTTCTTGGCTCAGTGCCAGAGTGTGCTGTGTCATGTTGCGATCAGATGTAAGATCGCTTACAGAGAGCCAAACTTGCGGGTCGTCTTATTGACACCAGTCAAGAGTATCGAGCACTATAAAGATCAGGAAATTATAACAATCGTAAAGTTAGATTGAAACAAGGAACACTGAATTATAGATTAATCAACCACTAAGAAACTAAAAATAAAGCATGGCCTTAACAACCCACAAACTACATAAGACATTAGCAACGAAGAAAATCCCTAAAGCAACAATTTTTCAAACTACCAACTAACTTAACTGCTGGATTTTTAAGAGATTTAAGTGCAGTTTATTTGTCAAATGGAGCACGACATCTCCCCATTGTCATCGACCGGAGAAGGGGAGGTTGGGAGATCCTCTATTCAGTTGCACCGACTTGATTAATACGCCTGAATGCGCGCGCTCGTTGCAGAAACGACCCAGTTTCTAGGCCCAGTGAAAAATTGTAGGTTATTAGACTGGGCAATGCCTATGACTGCGAGAGGCTGAGATTGCGCAGTTTTGAAAACAAAATGAGAACTGTTGCTTTCATCAGCCGCCTTTTAAACGGGTGTGAATATAAAATGCCTTATTTTTCCTCAATATGGAAACATTGCTATGAATATCTCGTACGTTAACATTTTTTAGACTTCACTTCTTTTCAAATCAAATTTTCAAATTCGTTTTAAGTTCAATCATAATGTATAAATTCAGCATATGGTTATACCTTGCAAAATATCCTATTAAAATTAGAAAAAAATTACGCAACAATAGATTTTATTAGTAACTAATAAAAATAATACACGCTGCGACTGCCTTTACGTAATTGTTACATTATGTTCAATATTATTTAATGTATGATATTCATTTAAAATTGCAAGGAATTGTTGGTTGGTTGTAATAAATAAAAGTAAATAAATTAAAATCAATGACGATAGGATTGTCATTGCCGGATAGATTTGTATTATTCGTACAAGTCTTGCGTTTAAATTTTGGCCAATATCGGCAATTAAGCTAGCAATCTTAAAATCTTAAAGCGGTGTCCGTTGGCCGATGTCTAAGGACTTGTGGGCACTAAGTCTTTCCGTAATGCGTTTTGGTGTGTATCAGTGTGGATCTACAATACTAGATCACGACGGGAACGACACGAGACAATCTAGGTCATGTTATTGGAGTGAATGACACACGATTTTGATACGGCGGTTTCGTTTCTAGATATGGAATTTAAGAGTTTCACTTAGGTATTATTTTAACTACAATTTAATGAACTGTTTCCTTCCCTAGTTTATACTCTTGTTGTGGTTTATGTTATGGTAAAATATGTACAGGAAAAGTAAAGTTATTAATCAACATTTTCCTATATGCTTTCTGCTCTGTTACATCTGATATTAACAATCATTTTATAATGACGACACAACGACACACTTGATACGTGATTGAATATATATTTATTTTTTATTATTTATGTGTACACAGTTTTATAACTCATAACATACATTATGTTTACTATTGCAACCTGACATTTTATTTAATCAAATAAACTTCAGCAACTTTTGAAATAACACACATTGTATGAAATCAAAACATGGAGGTTAAATTGACATTGACTGGACTTATTACACCTCGAATTCATCTCGAATTACCTACCTACAACTAATTCATCTCGAATTCTCGAAGCTCATCTATTACACTGAGTTATGGCAACGGCTAGACAGATATATAAAAACGAGGAAATTGCAATTCCATTTCCTTTGACGCATTTCTCACTAACTTTGAAGTATTTCAAGAGTTGGCAAGCTTTAATTAAACTTGCCAAGTACACGTGGTACGAAGGTGCTACCACTGTCAGTGTTAAATCGTAACTTTTAGATTCTCAGAGTTCCAAATTTTATTCATTACGTTTAAATGAAATTTTCATATTAACTTAGTTTACTTAAACTGCTTTGCCGTTATTTTTCGGTATACGGATTATTTTAAATTTTGTTTTACGAACAGTAAAGGACTTTAGAAACCTAAATACAATTATAGCATTGTATAACGCGTTGGTAAGAAGTCAGCTAGAGAGTAACGCAGTCATCTGGGCCCCACATGAAGCTAAATATAGCCTCATGTTGGAGCGAGTTCAAAATAAATTTGTTAGGTTTTTGTACTTCAGATACTATGGAGTATACCCATTGTATCTATTAATGTATCCCACGTTATTTATTCTGGGTATGGTGGGATACAATGAACTGAGGGTCAGAAGGGAACTCACACTCGTCTCGTACCTGTTTAGGGTACTTAGGGGTGGGATACATAATGAAGACGTGTTAGGACGAGTCAGCATATGTGTTCCGGACAGATACGTGTGGCGGCGCCGCCGGCCGCCGCTGCTGGCTGTCCCGTGCGGGCGCACCAACCTGCAGAGAGAAGCACCGCTGACGCGCGCACTACGTACTCTGAATATAATTGCGGACGAAGTAGATTTATTTTATTGCTCACTGAGTGAATTCACAATAACAGCATTAAGAATTATTTCTTATAATAAATAAGTAGATGGTATAACACTATTGCATTGGGCTAAGCCTGTAAAAATAGTTGTTTTTAAAGAAAATAAATAAATTACAAGAGGAAGATCAAATTGTCATTTGGAGAATACTATTACATACATTTATTATAATAATATCTCACACATCTCCCACACGGCCGTCTGATCCCAAACTAGGCAGAGCCTGTACTATGGTAACCAGACTGCTGATAAACATACTTATATATTTTTAAATACATACATATTAGAGATAAATTACACTAATACACAGAACGAATGATCGTGCTCATCACACAATATTAGTCCTGGTTGGGAATCAAACCCACGACCTTTGGCTTAGCAGTCAGGGTCACTAACCACTAGACCATCAGGCCCGTCAATATTTACTAATAATAGTAGAAGATAATAGTTTTTTCCTTAGTTTCTGTAGTTACTCACCCGTATCCAGGTTTCTGACAGAACCAAGACCTGGTAAGCTTTGCAGCTTCTAACAGAACGCCACCAAGATCACCGATCCTCATGCCAGAGCAGGAGCAGCAGTCATCACCTTCCCCATCACCCACTAACACGACGCGCGACTCTGACTTCGCCACTTTGGATACACTCAACAACACATTACCTCCAAAATGTTCACTATTGTTGGTCAAATTACCTCCATCAGTTTTTCTGTCCGCACTATTGTTTTCACTAATGATTTCAGTGTTAAAGGGACCGTTTTCAAATGTCAAAACTTGATTGTGTCCACGAATTTATAATTTACTAGGATCACGTCAATAAATATGAACCTATAAAAAAGATGAAGAAAATGAAATAATTACCGCCATCATCACGAGGTCATAACTTGATATTGAAAGCAATAACGATAAATAAAATTTTACAAGCTACGTAGCGGTAAAGCGTCAATAAATTCACTGACGTCGGATTTCGCGGTTTCGATTAAAGTTCAGTGCATACATTTGTCTATTTATGTTTAAAAAATTGGTCTTAGTTCTGGGCTACGTAAATGCGTCTAAGTGTGTTTATCCGTGTTCTAGAACTCAAAGTACAAGAATGCTTAGTTTTATGTTAAGACGGCGAGTTTTCACTTCCCTGACTTGAAATGCTTGGAGTGCAGGCAATACAAAATAATCCAAAAGTAGTGATTTTGTCACTTAATTGTAGTATTTGCAAAATATCTAATGGTTGTTTAGCTTCAACAACGACTGTACTTCCGACACTAAGTAATATTTTCAACCAATGGATATAGTTATAAAGTTGAAAATAAAGAACACAGTAAAAGAAATCTGAGCATCGGCATCGGTGCATTAGTTTACAAGAGAAGAAATCGCACAACATAAACCACCCATTAACTTTATATTTTCGAAAGTCAAAAATACAGAACGCGACATCTATTCATCCATCACTTAGGTTTTGATACAGCAAATATGACTGCGTTGAAATACTGATCAACTTCGTCAATAACAACATACATATTCTTACATACAATGTTTACTTCTTTCATTTCTCTAGTTCGCGAAATGTAAATTTTGGCTTCCTAGATAACATTTTTCTCCACTTTCATGGAAAGTAAAGATATAACATATAGTCCTTTGAACATTAAACTTTCTTTAACAATAAAAGTATCTGTATTAAAAATAACGTTTTCTGGTAAACATACTAGTCAAAGGAAAAATAATGCAAATTGAAAAAAAATTTGTGCTCAGTGGCCCCGGGAATTACAAAGAGCCTCCAAAAGTTTTTACAAAGCAGGTAACAAAGTAAATAAAATGAACCGATATCGGTTGTACGAATTACGAGAGGCTCCTGGATTAATTGGCTTTGGCAGAATTTCGGGAAAGCTGCAGGTATTGCGGTTTTTTCTTTTAGAATAAGATACTTAGAAATGCTTAATCCAATTTCATGATATTGCGAAACAAATAAATTATTTGTGTTTATAAAGTACGATGAACGGAGGATAGAAATAATAATTAATCTACAATAATAATAATAATATTCTCTCTAAATAGACATTAGACATCATTATCTACACCTAAACTAAGCAGAGCTTTATACAATAAGTTCTAGAACACTGATAGAAATAGATATACAAGCACATCATCATCATCAACTGCTTCTAATAGTCCACTGCTAGACACAGGCCTCTCCTAAGAAAGGTCCTACTATGCCACGCTGGCCAGACGGGTATGGTATAGGATTTCTTTCAATTTTTCCTTGTATTTGATGTGATGAAGTTTGCTCCATTAGTCGGCTCTTATGACACCCACGGGATGAATAAGGGTGGCGAAAATCCGTATTCTTAATCAGCCACCACACGGAGAAGCACATAGTATTTCGAAAAAGTTAATAAGATGATAACGTACTTTTCGAAGCCCCTGTAGTTGTTGCGATGTCTCTTTGTTAGTAAAAGTAAAGTAAGTAGACAAATTAGACTAATGTTTCTATTTGACATCTATTCCAATAATAGAATAGAAGTTTATTGATTTCAGTATTACAACAATTTTTATAAATATACAGAAAAACTATAATACCGAATGCAAAAGGGTTAAGCATAACATGTTCCCATAATCCTGACAAAGCCAATTAATCCAGGAGCCTTTCGTAATTCGTACAACCGATATCGGTTAATGCATCGTTAATGGCGACTTACATTAATGAGCGACCTCATAATCATTAATGAAATTTCTAGTTAAATACAAACACTAGATTATATTCGTATTGGCAGATTGAAACGATGAAGATAAATGACGGCGATTGGAAACGAAATCGAAGAAGACTTCACCAGTACATATATTATGTTTTAACATAACTGAAATATCTACAGTCCTGTTGAGATTTGGCTGCCACCAAAGCCCTTAAAAGTGATTTACGATCAAATAAACGTTAACTAAAATAAGTGAATGAAAAATTGCACGAACTGTCAGATTTTGTTGAATATTTCTTTTTTTTAACATCTCTTGGCGCTAAGCCACATAATAAAGTAAAAAATCGATTTACGATTGTAATTTCAAATTATAGCCGATTTTGGTAATACTAAATTCTCCAGAGAATTTTACATAACATCGACAGTTCTGAAGTAGTATTTTTAATATGTTTTTTTTTTACACCTTAAATTTTAACAGGTATGTAAGCATTCGCTTATAGTACCTACATATTTTGTTTGCTATCAAACATACTGTATGGATATTACAACAGCGATATATCATACACTTGTTTTAAAATTAAACAAAAAAGGTAAAGGACACATTGAAAGTTACTAATGAATAAAACTAGTTAGCAACAAAAGAGCAGAATATTAAATGGAAACGTTTCAATCGACTGAATAGAGGAGATTACGCACGCCCAAACTCATGACAGTGTGACTAATGAATACGTTTCATTGTTTGAAGACCGTTTTTATTAACAAGAACCTGGTGGAGTATGACATGTTGCTGATAATTTGTTCTGATATTTAGCTAAATGAACGCTTTTGGAATGACAAAGTCAATCATGAAAATTTAAATGATTACCGGTGGTGGTCGAAATGATTGGTTTATTTTGTGACTCTATTCAAATTGGAGATGGTAAACTTTAAAACGCATGTATTTCAAAAATCACAAAACGCTTCGTAACCTAACTAAACGAAAAAATGATTTTGGATAGGCGAGATACTTGTCTTCTTTTAATCTATATGCTAAGAGAATGGTTCAGTACAGTGAGAGTACGATAACGTCCTTACATTCGAAAGAAGTTTTGACAGTACGGCTTAAGTGGAGAACGATACTACCGTTTTGTACTTGTACTTTTGAGTAAGTTAACCAGAGATCTAAAATGTCAGAAGAAAGGATTGTTATTATACTAGTAACAATGATGTACCGAGTTGGGTTGAGATTGATAACCACTCGCTATTATTTAAAGTGTACGTACGTTTATTTGCTGTATAATGGGATAAAAAAATAAAACGGAAGATTTCGTTATGCTTCAAATCTGCATCTTTAAGAACTTTTTACTCTTTAATGAATGTTGTAATATTTATAATTTAGGAATCATAGTCGACAAATACCCTATTACATAATACGAAATGAAACGGGAAGCTAGTCTCCGTTAACAAACACTCAGAAATGTCACAAAATCTTCTAGCAAATATTTGAATGTTTTGGAGGGCTATTGATCTCAAAAACTACGAACATATTACAGTATAATTCCGACGTTGTCGACTTGTCCTGAACAAGTAAACACTCTATTTTATTCCTTGAATGAAAAAATGAAAAGGAAGCTGTAAAGGCGACAAACAGTTCTGAACCAATATAATACCTACAATAGTTGAACTACTTGTAGCAAATAATAATACATCAGAAGTTGTAGTTGTTGGAGTGGTGCCAAAGTACTGAGTTAATTTCTTTTAGATTCATTTAATATTATGTTATGTCTATGTTCGCTAGAAGATTCTATACAATGCTGATGTACATATAATTTATCTTCCTAATTTGGCACACTATATTGCTGCTTCACGTATCGAATTATTAAACAAAAAAGAATTACGTACAAGAAACGAATACAAAGCAGGTACATTATCTTAGGCAGAGCATAGAAATTTTCGTATAGGAAATCCCCACTGAAGCAGTAGCTACATAAAACCTAAACCATTAGGTTAGTGTAATTTTCTGCTGGCGTGTAGGCTCTTTATCATTTTTCACAAAGCTGAGTGCTAAGCTACTTAATTTCATCAATTTCACACGGTTATTTTTGTTTAAACAAAAGTATGAAACACAGGCAACGAACTCAAATGAACAATAAAGTCTACTGCAACTATGTTTCACATAAAAACTTCTAATGTAAAATATGAATTTCAAAATTCCGTGTAAACGAAAAAGACAAAATATATTATTCAAACATGACTTGAATCGTATTGTCATAGATCGATACAATTTAAATGTTTTAATTCCGTAAATGTTTTTATAACATTCATAATATTAACCACATATTTTCTAATTTGCAATTTATTTCCAAAAAAAAAAAAACACTGGAGTCTTTAATCGCTCTAGTCACTGGAGATAATGGGCATCCATTTTAATATTTTTGTTTTAATTAATTTACGTTACTTGATATTTTAAGTTCGATTTTATTATCAACATTTACTACATATCTAAAAACTTCACCTAATAGCCTAATCACTACAACTCTATTACATCGTTGGCAATTTAAGACAAGTGGAAGTTGATTATAAAAAAGAAAATAACACAACGATTCAATTATGTTGCAATTATTTTTATTTGCTGATTAACTGCATACCTTACTATTTTAAAAGTACCTGTAATAGTAATAAGTAGAATGTACGTTGGATGGAGCTTTACCAACCACAATGCACAAAACGCATCTTGTTCGAATAACTTGAAAGGGAAACCTGTATACACATTTTTATACACGGTGTTACTTTTGACGTGCACTTTAAAACTACAGCTTTATATTATAATATACCTCACATTTGCGTTGTAAATATAACAGCTCTATTTCATCGATCAATAATTTCAGTGTTTGAATCTTCGAAAATGCGAATTTATCCCTCGTAAGTACATATTCTAGGGCTCTTGAGCCTGATTCAAGATCGATCTTCGCGAGAACAATGGTAATCTTTTAGGCTTTAGTATTTACAAGGATGCGGCGCTTTGAAACGACCAAAACGGTTTAGACAAATAGGGTGTTTTGTAGGGTAGGGTCTTTTTATTATTCCTTAGGTAAAAATAAAACTAAAATTCCGAAGCAGTTACTGAGATTTTTTAGGAGTGATTTTAGGTCTCCCTAACAAAACACGCCGAATGGAAGCTTATGATTTTTCATACTTTTAAGGTAATGAAAAAAAAAACCTAATGGAAATCGATTATTGCATTTTATTCAACAATAAATGTCTCTGTTAAAATCTTTTCAATGCCATTTAAAAAACCCTATGCGTTACTTTTTAATTTCATATATTTTTTTTTAGTTATTAAAGTTTGGGGACTAAAAGTAGGTCCCACTAATGAAGGACACCATACATTCGTCGCAGACTGTAACCATAATTGCCCACATCAAATGTGGTACGTAGCCGGTACGTTATCGAGCTCCAAACCGTGGTAACCATAAAGCCGATCGTATACTTCAACAGCGTCGTTATACGCTAAATTACTTTTATCGTACAATTCAATTTGCTCTTTATATTTGACATATTACATTCCGAATTCATTTGATAGGTAAAAGTTGGTTACTTTACATGTACCAATGATCTGAACGGATCTACTTTTGATTGGAGTTGTTTAAGCCTCAATAGTAGTGTTATTGATCAGGTACCTAGTCCCTTTATTTTGTTCGCAGGCTTGTAGTCAGCGTAACACAAATAGACTAATGTGTTTATTTTACGTAATGTTTTGGGTTCCGTATAACAAAAGCAAGAAATGTGATTCTTCAAATATTTCTCGATCATTTTCTCAACGGACAGAAAGGATTTTGAAATGGAATGCCGGTGGCTTTCTAAGCGAGAAAGTTACCGTGACCCGAGCTAACCTCGTATATTTTTTCCCCACAAAGTTTTAATTAATAAAAAATGAGTTTGTATGTCATAGAGAAATATTCCAATAAAGTAATGTTTAACATTTATAGCGTGTTATTTTTGCGCGTTAGAAAAGTTTGCACTGAAAGAATAACATAAAGTAATTTTACATTTAAAAAATTAATGAAACAATGACTTTTAATTTCTTTTACATTTTTATTGTTTTCATTTATACCAAATCAATGGAACATAAGCAAAGTAACACTTCTTTTTGTGTGAATAAATCATAACTATATGTTTAAGCCCAATGAAGATGTAATCTCTAATGTAAGATGAAAAAGTATATCAGTCATGTATTAAACATAAAAAATTGTAATGAGTTTGAAGAAAAATATCATGACAAACGTCATCCAGAGCGATTTAAAAAACTATCAATGTTAGCTACACGAAGCATTAAATAGTACTGTCATATTACTGCCAAGTACCATTTCAGATATTTTTTCAGGAGAATGGTTACTACTGTCATATACTTTTTGTATAACTCCGTCACTTTTACAATCCTACTACCAATGTCTATTAGCTGCAAATCAAAACAATTACCAGATATAAACAAAAAAAGATAAAAGGCCGTGAAATTATGTCAACGATGAAGTGACTTAATGTCATCGGATAAATAAGAGATTCTAACCTTAATGAAAGTGAAACGGGGAAGTTCTGCACAAGGCCAACACCTTTGGATTAAGTCCCTTGTTAAATTGGCTGATAATATAATAGATCGATTTATTATTTTTTGGTTTAGATGGTCGCGTTGAATATAAGATATGGGATAGATCAGGGCATGGTTAGGTTCGATATTTTGAGCTTTGTTAAAGATTAAAGTAGTAAAGTTTATAACATTTGTTATGAATTTTACTATTTTAAAAGTAAATTTAGTAATAGTATAAGTAAGCGTGTATTTTCTCTTTTAGTAATGAGTGTAATGTGATGGTAACATCTAATAAATAAATAGTTATACCCAATTAGTTGTTAACTATTCTGTAAAAATAAATATGTGTATAGATTTAACCAGTAATAAGCGTAATTCCATTTTATTAAAGGAAAGTAAAAAATTGTTTTATAATGTTACGACTATATTTAATTTTAATATTGCGTCGAGGTATGTATTATAATATCATTATGTATATATTACATATATACGGAAATCGTAATGTCTATAAAGAAAATATTCAAAATACAAATAAAATTACACAGCTTAGAAAGTGGTGTAAGAATGTTTCAATTAAATTCCATTTCGTTTATAGCTCACATATCTATTAGTATAAATTTAAGCAATTAAATAAAATTTTGGCATTTTTCTAACGTGAAACTATTAATAGCACATCAAAACGCATAAAAGAAAGTCCTTAAATAACAAACAGATGCTAATTCTAAGCCACTATTTCAAAAGCTATAGTTATGTTAACAATACTTATGTTTTTATTAAATTCTTGGTAAACAAGCATTGAAACTACGGTGACCCTGGAATTTTTAATTCCAATGAATTAAAAAATAATTAATTAATTAATTAATTATTTTGGATACCAGTGTATCCATATCAACGCAAATATCTACAAGAAATTGTTTACTCGGTACCTACCATAGCTCGTAGCTAAAATATAAGATACATACCTACCTATTAAAACATTTTTAAGTATACCTTGTGTTCTATTCATTCATTTGTAGTTCTATCAGACTTAATGCGGTTTTTGTGTTTTAGTTAACTAGGTGATTTTAATTCAAGCAGAAGCTAGATAATTATAAAAATTGATGTTGACGAAATTAGTGACAAATTGAAAGTCACCAACACGCGCCGGCTTTTATAACTTTTACACGTTTGAATTTCGATAAGTCCGTTAGGTTACGTCAATTACATTTATGGAAAAACACTCAATGCTTCATAATAGGGTCATAATCATATTTTAGCTTATCTTCTGGAGTATTCGACCGCTTATAATTATTAGACTTAGATCTACATTCCAACTTACTCTGAAGCTTGGAATGGATAAGAGAAAACCATGGGACACCTTTACGATTGACGTAGCTAGTTCATGCCAAGGTAGCGTTCCTTGTTTTATAGAACTCTTACATTTTATAAAAGTTTATTGCGTTTACGCAGAATGCGTTTATTTTATTGATACCTAGCGTATAACGGAAACTTTTAAATATCGCATAACTATTCCAGTTACAGATAGATTGATAGATAGCAATTTATTTGAATCGATTACACTTTTGAGATCACTTAAGTAAGTATATTATGATTAATATGGTTTTAATATTTTGTACAGTACTAAATTTTATACACACACTTTGGACTCTGGCCAAATTCTCTTTATATTACATTATTCAGAGTACACGATAAGCGTATAATTACGTTTTGCCACAACACTAACATTAAGTCCACACAGAGACAGTTTGCAGGTGTCACCGAAACTATAAAGTGTACTAAAGGCCGTCGGCCTTCATAACCGATCGAGATTTTTCCACGCCAAACGGATTAAGTTGCTGTTTTTTAGCGTTAAAAAATATACCTTATTTAATCACTATAACTGGTATGAGGTTATCTTGCTCTTGGGCGGGCAGAATGCCGAGCTAATCATGCGCATTGCCTTCGTCTTAAGACGGAAGAACAGACTCTGACCTCCAGGCTTGGGCGGAGATTTTTCGGTCAGGGCAATGGTTTGAGCTAAAGTAATGTCTAAAGATACCATTGGATCTCCTTTCAGCGCAGTACAATTACAGTAGCAGCAACAGTAGCGCATAATTATATATAATTAGCGGACCCGACAGACGTTGTCCTGTCAAATTTGACACTGCGATGGTAGCGCCGTCTGTCTGATCCAATGTAAAACATTCCAAAATCAACAACTACTAATAAATTAAAAATTAATTAAAAAAACATTGTCCAGCGGACAAAATTGTGAATCTAAACCATTCCCAGATCCCCTTGAACACACACAAAAAATTTCATCAAAAACGGTCCAGTCGTTTGAGAGAAGTTCAGTGACATACACACTCACAGAAAAATTATATATATAAAGATAATTATAGTGAAGTTCTTTTTAGTTCTAGTTAGTTTACAAAAAAAACAATTGAAAATTTGAGATTAACTGGAATTAGAAACCAGTTTTGATAAAATCTAAATTCCTTCTCAAGTTTTAAACATACTCGTATTACAGTAATATTTAAAAATCACAGATGTATACTATTTGCAGCATAAATAGTAAAATCGCTTGAACGTGTAACTTGAAATCGTTGCTTATGTCACATTCAAGTGTAATCAGGTAGACCGATAGTGGCCGGCCCGGAGATGTCGCCGACTTCCACAAAATCAATTCAACTCAAAACAGACTTAAATCAATAAGCGATAAAGATAAAAATTCAATACCATTCAACTCTATACTTGTGCAATTTCGAACTCAAGCGAAACTAGCTATAAAGTTCAAACTGTTGTTTTACTGATATGATGATTAATTTTAGCATTTCGATATGAAGGGATAAGTATGATTATTCAATGTTTTATAATTTTAGGAATTTTATCATTGTGATTGTAAATATAAATCTTTCTATAGTTGAGATATTAATTAATATTTAGATTTTTCGAGCTTGAGGCAAGCTGGCATAAAAATTTCGTAAAAACTGTATGTTTAATAAATATGTATACTTTACTTTTATATATTTAGTATTTGTAACCTTTAATGTCCGGAAAGTCCTCGATATTAAGATAAAGTTACCGTGGATGACAAATTCACTTTAGTGGTGGGACAAGGTCGATACGAAATACAGTCAAGTATATTTCTTTCGTAACGATTGTGTTAAAAGACTGTTAATAAATTACGCCCGTAATTATCGCAAAATCAGTACAGTAGATATCAATTATTTAAGGTAATAATGTACCTGTCATGATACTTAGTCTTAGTCCTTAGATTGAAAGAATTTTAAGTAAGTTCGAACAAAATTAACTAAAAGTATAAAGGTTCAAAACTTTGGTCATAGAGAATTCGTCTCTTTCAATGCAAAAACATTTATAAACACAACAATCTTTTATATTATCATAAATAATTTACATTTTAATCTACAGTATTTTTTGCTGTTATCAGTTGTTTGTGTTCACTTCATTATTAATCTCACTATTGTGTACTTAGAGCATCTTTAATAAGTATATAAAATATAAAAAATAGGTTTTCAGTGAGATGTATCATTGTCAGAAATATGGTAAGTAAAAATTTATATTTTATATGTAGATATAACTGAATAAAACAAACTCAGAGATCTCATACATTAACGGGATCGCAATTAAACCGTTTCAGCATCTAATATCTTGAATCAGTATCACGTAACCGGTCAAGCAACCTGACACTTTAACTAGAACAAGTTAAGGTGTAATATTACCTACATATCAACGGTTGGTCAAACAAGTAATGGGTACATAGTGAGGTGATTATGTCGAGTTTCAATGGATCAAACTTGCTCGAGTGTGAATATGAACGTATGATGATTTTTGTAAGACTTTATATTTTGTTATGTAATTTCCCTGAATATTCAAATATGTTTTACGTCACCGAAATTTTTATGACTTCCTTAAGTCATTATTTAATCATACATGTAATATTTGTGTTAAAATTAAATAACTAAATTTACACATAAAAAAAAAAAGTATAAGTTACGACAAAATAGTTTATTTCATTTATTTTCAGTCATTATTTATTATGATTTTACAACGAGATATTTCGACAATACTCAGAGCTTATCCTCCATCGTTTCCGCGATTAATTTAGGCATTAAGACTACTTCCACGATTACATAACGCTTTTATTCTAGTTTACTAACTTACTCTACGTAAGTGGAACATGAAATTTCTCACTCGAGTCATAACAAAAACATTAGGTACAGCAATAACCGTCATTATTTGCACAGAATTGTCACGATTATAAATATTCAACAAAAGAATTGGCACCTTATTACGTAGATGTAAGTTATATTATAGAGTGAATGGAACTAAGTTGTGTTCAAGGTAATATTGATTGTTTGCATTTTGGTGGCGGTGATAGGATGTTTAGAGTTACGAGCAACTGATATTTATTTCTGTCTTAATATAATATTTAAAAAAAAAACTCAAGTAATATTTGTTTGGATAGGTATATAGACAATTCAATTATTAAATTAGATAAAAAATGTACCAATAAAGTACCTTGTGTGCAGTTCAGTTATACCTTTTTTTACGAAGCGTATGACTTTTAAATTCAACACTTAACTATTAACGCTATTATGATCGATTAAAAGTTATTAGAAAACAATCCAATAAATTTTAATTGCTAGCCATACCAGACCATAAAGGATCGTTTAAACGAGGCGAAAGTTTTCTAGCGGCCAACGTGCTGTGTCCACGCGTTAACTGCGGTCTATGTTATTGGCGAATATAGATCCTTTTTACTAGGAAACACCACTTAAATTTCTGTTAATCACGTGATAGAGCGACCGCGCGTTGACTACGAGATCACCGCTTAGACTGCACTGGGTCTATTTAATTTAAAGGGTAGTTGCCAAAAAATTGTACGTATTTCGCAGTGACATAAATGTACATATGTCTCTCGACAGGAACCTTAGATTTGAGATTGGCGGAAATGAATACGTCATCCTCACCCTTACTAGTAAAGCAATAATATATTATAAACCTTTATTATGGTGATAATGCACTGTTGGTTGATGATAAAAACGACTAATGCATAACTAACACAATATATGAGTAAATGGCAAATTCGATCAATTGGATATTTTAGATAGTATTTTTGTCACTATAATATTGAAATCGATCGCATATTTTTTGTTTGTATTAACATAAATAATTTGTGTTCTACATTTTTACTTTATTTAGGACTTTTTTAAATTACACTTTAATAAATTATCTATTGGTGTTTATTGTGCATACATATCTTTAACTTCTCTTTGTAGTGGTGTTGTCCTGCGTAGTTTGCTTCCTTAGTCGGCTCTTACGACACCCACGGGATGAATAAGGGTGGTGACAAGGAAAACTTGGAATATTAACCCGTCTGGCCAGCGTGGTATAGTAGGCCAAAACCTCCTTTCTAAGGACATGCCTTTGTCCAGCAGTGGACTGTTACAGGCTGTTGATGTGATGTGATGATGAAAGATATCATATCTTTTCCTTTGTCGTACTAATTTTTGTTTCAATGTTGCATTAGTAATTTATTTACCATTTTAACTACTAGTTTGTAGGGTATTCAATTCTACTTAGAACTATCACTGAAACTATGCTATTACACAGTACAAGGTTAGGCTGCATCACAAAAAATTGCAGTATTACTGAATATACTAGTTTAGTTGTCTACTTGCCAATTTTGTTTGGGGTTAGCACAATGTGCAAAAGGTTTCGACTTTCCTTTTTTGTGGCGGTCCAGTTTTCAGATGAGACAAACGAGGAAAACAGGGCAAAATAAACGGATAAGGCGATGCATCTAGGGTAAAATATACCGCAAATCTTCAATAGGACAACGGGAATGAGACTACAGCGACTAAGAATATCTTCTTCGGGATTTTATTCGAACACACTGATATTTTTGTTTCTCTGTGCTAGACCAAGAACAGACAACTAGAAAGTATCAGTTTCACAGTTTATAGTTTCTACTCATAAATTATGATGTTTATTATCACAGTGGTTATTTATACATGTATTTATTATGAATTTTATTATTTGTACATTATAAATAGATTTCCGTAAGTAAAGGTCGTTATACAGTCTCTTCATATCACTCAGTTCGTATAAGCACCTATATTTTACAATATAAATCGATTTATTAACATTTATATTTCTATTTGTTTAAAATAATTGTAACTAGGGTTATCATCAATCATTAGATTTATGTTCATTTATCACAAAGTAATATAAATAGAAATAATTTATTTAGTTATTCTTGTTAATCATTAATCATTAATAATAATAAATAATAATAATAATGTACCTCGCATATCTCACACACGGCCGTCTGGTCCCGAACTAGGCAGAGCCTGTGCTATGCTAACCAGACTGCTGATAAACATACTTATATATTTTTAAATATATATATATATATATATATATATATATATATATATATATATATAACACGCCTTAACCTGTCACCTACATAGAAAAGTTTAAAAGTATTGACTAAGGACTGTTCGAAAAAAAAAAACAAATTATATAAATACTGTCTTAGCCTCTTATTAGTCGTGTAGAAACCCTCACGAATTATTATACTTTCATACTAAGTTGGCAAACACGTCCACAAACGCTCGCAACATAAACGATGTCAATTGTGCCAACACCGCTGTTTTCTTATGTTAGACCTTCACGGGTCACATTGGTCAGTTGCCAAAACAGAAAAGAATATCAAGTAAACATTGTACTGTACACTTTCCCATTCTAATAATTTTTCTTTTACTCACCGCATAACCGTGTCTATTGATTACTGCTAGTTGGTCGATCTTTTAGGATACACAAATATATTTCATTTCATATATTCTTTACTAGCTGACCCGCGCAACTTCGTCTGCGTCTCTCAATAGTAATAAATTTTCTCCGTTTTTGAAACATCCTTCATTGGTGCTCCGCTCCTATTGGTCTTAGCGTGATGATATATAGCCTATAGCCTTCCTCGATAAATGGGCTATCTAACACTGAAAGAATTTTTCAAATCGGACCAGTAGTTCCTGAGATTAGCGCGTTCAAACAAACAAACAAACTCTTCAGCTTTATAATATT